ATTGGCCACTCGAGAATTCTTTATTGTAACACCAACATATAGCCAACTTTAAGCATTAAAACTAAGATTCACAACTAAGGTCTATTAAAAATATTACAATGATAAATCACAATATTACTTCTGACGCTTTTGGCCTGACTTCTTTCTAAACAGCGACCGATGAGACGATGATTGGTGTATTGAAGCCTCCGCGAAAATTGGGGAAGTTGGCATTGAGCAAACAACCATGATTTGATCGTTCAATCTTCAACTGCATTGACGCCCCGCGAAATTTGACATTGTCCTGTCGTAGCCATAACTCCATTGGCAAAGATAAGGAAAATATGCCCCTAAATCATACTAACAAAAACAGTGGCAGCCTAAATAATCCCACACTCCCCGCTGTCAATAGTATTAGCACTCACAACGTGCTAAATCGCACCATGGCACACACTAATATCCAATGTCTCAAAAATGTCACCCTCAATAGTACAAGTGGTAATAGTCAGAACTCGGCTACCAACAACTCAGGGTCTTCAGAGTATGGCACACAAACAAATTTTGACCGGATATATGGTACAAGTCTGCTGGGAACTAACCCACAATGCAGTACACATGAAACCCACACAAGGACACAACTAGCATCAAACAATAGGTGGAATAATAAGCCATGGTCATCACAAGGATCCAATCATTTTTTATCCCCCGCGTCCCTGTCAGCGTTGAAAAAACAGCTGGTAGGGATGTTAACACTCCTAAACCACTAGTGCTGGCTCCCTCCTTGCATGAAAACAGGAACGGTCTAGTGCACCCGTATCCATTAGGCACACTTGACACCTGCACAAGTATAGGCCAAATAAAGAACCCTACCCACTTCTGTAACCTAACTAAAAATAAAAGTTCCTTAGTCTATAGCAAATCCAGTACTCCAACTCCTAATTCTCCACCGAAAACAGCACACAACAACTCGATAGACATAGGTGAGCATGATGCTGGAACTCCTCTTAACATAGGATCGTCATGTCAAGCAGAACTACTGGGTGCTGAACCATATTCGGGGCTGACTAACGAACTTAAATACTTCAAATGCTACTTCAACTCTCATCTTTACCTAATCCTCATAAATGCTAGATCTGTTCTAAATAAATTGCCGATGCTCAGAGCACTCACAGTAATATACAAACCCCCTGTAATTGTCATCACTGAATCTTGGTGTCATTCGAACATCCTGGATGAAGAAATAAGCTTAGATAACTACACACACTTTCGGTGTGACAGGGAAGGTGGTAAGGGAGGGGGTTGTCTCATGTACTTTCTGAATGCACTTACTGTATCACAGCTAGAAAGTAGTACACTTAACATGCCTGAGACTCTATGGGTTAATGTACACTTAAATAACGTAACAGCATTAATTGGATGCACCTACAGAGCACCTGGCACCTTTAGTAATTACGAGACCCAACTTATTAATACTCTGGAGCAATTATCCGACTTACAATACGATCATAAGATCCTATGTGGGGACTTTAACTTACCTGAAATCAACTGGGATATACCCACAGGCCCAACTAAATTTGATAAGTTCTTAGGCACACTGGATATACTTGGCTGGAAACAAACTGTCACTACTCCCACAAGAGGTAACAACGTACTAGACTTAATCTTCTGCCACAATATAAGCCCCCTTTCAACGCTAGTAGGTTCTGAGTTCCCAGGGAGCGACCACAAAACAGTAATGTGTGCACTGCCAATTCCGCTGAGTAGCAATGCATCTCATACCTCCACTTCACAACAAGTAATATATAGGAACTATAGTAAGGCAAACTGGGCCTTAGTTGAATCGATGCTAAGATCCTCCAAATGGGATGAATACTTCACTACTGATGACCTATCGAGAGCCCTAACCATCTTCTACCATAACTCAAACACATGCTTAGATGCTGTCATTCCACTCCAAACACTAAAGGTTTCCCCACACAGAAAGTCATTCATAAAACCAAAGGATCGTACGAAACTGAAGAAACTCTCAACAAGTTACTTCAAACACCACGACTTTGGCACTCTAGGTCTAATACTTAACACCCTTAGCTCCATCTCACAAGCT